CAACATAAATATATCATAACTATAGAATTTTCTTTAATTTATAATGAAGATTACGTGTGTATTAAGATATTTAGTAGGAGTTAAATTAAAAAAAAAAAAAAAAAAAAAAGAAAAAATTCTTGAAAACAGGCTTTAACTTTTTGTTGCATACAAACAGTATATATATATAGTTTGTAAAAAAAAACCCATCAAAACTATATCTGAGTGAACTTTTGCAGGTTTGAATGAGGCTTTCATCATTATATCTTTACTAGTTTTTACTTTCTATTCATAAAAGCTTTTTTTTTTTTTTTTTTTTTTTTTTTTTCTTCTTCTTCTTCTTTTCTGTGAAACAGTCAGTTTCATTAAAGCCCTGTTGTTGTTGTTAAATAAAAGCATGTATTTTTAATTTGTAGTTTATATTTTTATTTACGCTGTTTTATGTATTGATTTTTTTAAAAGTAAATATCACATTCTTTATATATCTATAAAGATTTCTATGGTTTTACAAGCTAACTTTTTTTTAAAAAATTTATATTATCTAAAAAAAAAAGTCAAATTTCTCATATCAGAGCCTTATATAGGGTATTGTATTTCATAAAGTTCTTCATGTAGTATATAATAATGTGTAGTTTCTATATTTGAGCCAAATTGTGTGTTTTTGTTTTAAAAAGCTCATTACTTATTCACATATCAAAAATAGGAAATTTGGAATATACTTGACTACCAGTTTGAGTAGGTGATTTTTGGTATTTGTTCCCGATATATTTATAGTAAATACTATATTTAAATGCACATTTTCGTAATCTGTTTATTTAATTGGGATAGAGGAATAAAATATAATATGTATTGTCATGTTGAATTTATAATTCTGTAATAAAATTTTATTCTGGAAATGTACATTTTACAGCTGTGCAAAATATGAAATCTTACTAAATTTAATGTATAGCAGCATACAGTTAAGGCAATAGCTTCCAAGTTTGCATGAAATTATTTTCTAGACATTGCTAAGTTTATAAGCACTTCAATATGCAAGTAACTGAAAAAAAAATGGGCATTTACAATCAGTGAAAGATTTTTTTAAAACTAAACATTTTATTTACTATCGTAAATTTCCAAAATGCAAGTACTATTGGTAACACTGAAAGGTCAAAGGTAAATGAAATTGTTCCGAAAACTATTTGACTTTAAATTAAGTAAAATTATGTTTACTTAAATATAAGAAAGTAAAATATTTTTCTATAATATGATTTCAGTATAATTTATCTTTTTGTATCATAAACTATATTATAACTTTGAATAGTAATAGTTTATAGTTCCAGCTGAAAGTTAACAGCCTGTAAGTATATATTTCATGAATAGCATAAATACATACAATGTGATTTTCTTTTCTCTTTAGGATGGAATGCATTAAAAATAAACGAGATTTTTTTACCTTCTCAAATATTATAACAGTAGTGCAATTAAGTTTTAAACATTATTCAAAATTAAAGTTTCCTCTCAATTTTTTATTTTATTTTAGATTTTCTTCCTAAAATTATTTAACTTAAACATTTTAAATAATGGCGCAAATAATTTAAAGCGATTATTAAAAATATAGATAAAATATTCAGGAAAAAAGGGGTTAAGTTATATCCAAAAATAATTGTAAAAAATCGAATAACCTAATTCGAGGCCGTTGTCTGCCGACTGCCAGCAAACGGAAAAACACTACTAGCCATATCAGAAGCACGCCAAACTGGCGATAAACAGCCTAAGCTATCACTCCCCGAGAACGCCAAGAGCTTAAGTCACGTGGTATATGTTGGAGACATCCTAGCAGACGAATTCTCTGCCGGTGAGCCGTCTACCTATTATAAGAAGTCGTTGAGCTGACCAGGCCATCTAATCTCGAAGGCCACGACATTACACGGGTCGTTCAAATGTCGCGCTTTTTCTCATGAGTAATTTTGGGTGTAAATTTTATTTCAAGCTGCCAAGTTAAGTGGAAGAAAATGGCATAAGTGATTAAAAGTATCAAATTTAAATTTCTCTAATAGCTACCTAAAATTTATAAACTCACTTTCTCCCATCCACATATATAATATATAAATTACTCGTTTATGTTATCAATACTCGGCGGGTATTAGTTCTCACAGGAGCACAATATAGAGGAACAAAATTAACCACCACTTGCAATTTTAATATTTACTTTTACACAAATTAAATAAACGTAGATTCTTTTGATATCTTGCAAACATTATTTTTTTTAATCTGTTCTGACGCACCGTATGAAAATTTTGGTTGTTATGTCTGCGTGTGCGAACGTAAAATCTTTCTACTGCAAACAGTAGAATAAATATACACAAGATGGCAGTGCAGGCACTGCAGTAGCACCCACACAGTGGAGAATCAGTGAGAGGTATTATTTCTAACTACAAGCTACCGCAAGAAAGAAAGGGTGGGAAAAGCATTGTGAACAATATTCAGTATATGAGTGCAAATATATTAATCAGTAAACATTTTTTATCTCACCTTTATTTCGTCCTTGCGAATCATTTCCAATTGCTTCAGCTCACTCTAATTGTTAACACACACAAAAAAAAAAAAAAAACGTAAGCATTAAATATTAAAATTCAAATTCTAAGCAGTTTTTAAAAATTTATCACGAACAGTTTTCAACACACATGTAGTACCAGTACTTTTGTTCCTTTTTCCACGTATTAGTTATCATCGTCATCCCTTTCTTCACTCACATCCACATTTTCTTCATTAACGTCATCTTTCTCGTTTTCCTCATTCACGAAGGAAATAATCTTCTGTTTAATCCAAAGCATTTGATATACAAGTAAATTTAAAACTTTTCACAATCGCATTGTCGGATATGCTTTTCCATGCAGCAATAATCCACGCGCACACTTCCGAGATGGATGCCCTTCTCAGACGTCCAGCTGTCGTGGTCCTTCCTCCCTCGGAAGTCATCGAATTATGGTAGCTCCGTTTGAATGCCGTTTTAAATGGCTTGTTTATACAAACATCAACTGGCTGAGGAATGGAAGTTAGATCCATGGAGGTAGGAAGTAAGATGGAGTAGCCCTAAACAAGTTTCTCCCGTACCCTGCTCTGAAGCACCGGCGATCCCTACGTGGTGACCAAAACATTGGGTCATTTACCATAAAGTTCAATGGGATTTGACGCTTTCGGATGTAAAAATTTTGTAATTAAGTCGTAAATATACATATAAATGTATATATATTTTTTTCTACAACACTTCAGAGTCCTAAGTATATGAAAACAACATATTTTTAAAAACATTTCTTCTGAACGGAATTAAATGCTATACTTTTCACACAGAATGGTTTAATTTGAATGAAATATTTTCACAGTTTTTCGTTAATTACATTAGAAAAAAAAATTAAGGTAATTCGATTTTATTCGGTTAAGGTACAAAAATTAAGATCAAAGTTTATTGTATTATTAATATTAAAATTATGCATTATTTCTTTTCTATTTATAGAGCTTCTTCCTAAAATACTTTCTTAAATATGACATGTTGATTTTTTGGATTCTGAGGCATCTTTTAAATCGAAAAATGTAAGTCAATTTATAATTAATGCTCTATTCGGTTCATTTTTTAATTTAGAGATTATTAGGAATTAGCTAAATACTTTAAATAGTACTTGACTTTTCTAAACATTCCTGTTTTTTTTTTTTTTTTTTTTTTTTAAGTGTTATTTAAAACTTGTAACTGAGTTATTTAAAATGTAAGGGGAATAATTCTTTTAATTATACTTATCAGATTTTTTTTACCTTCATTTCAACAATACATATTCCAAAACTCTTTATTACGTTCTTAAAGTGCGCATCTCATAGCATTTGCTTTACAATACCTTTTAACAGATTGCTTTCCAATACGAACAATTCTTGCTTAAATAGTTTTATAACGTATTTGTCAACAGGATTTTATGTTTACAATTCAATATTAAGGTTATTATATATTTAGATAACATTTATGAATTTATATGACACTTAGATAACATTTATATGAATGAGACCTGCGTACGTTAAGAAGCCACCATAAAACTCGAATTTCCGAGAAAAAAAGACTCGCGTGGGAAACATTTAACAATCTGGGATCAATAAGAGGACCATTCATGATCGGTTTCACCTCCGTCGATTACCCTATTTTCAAATTCTTAATAAGCTGTCTTGATGATGCAGCACGTTCACATCGTCACATCATCTTGACGCACATGGTACTTCCGCCAAATTCGTAAATGTATCCCTCTTCTGTTCCACACATTTGTTGTAAAACTGTACATATTTTACACAAATGTGTGGTTCCAAATAAAGGGAAAGCTAACTATTGGCATATCTGTGTGTACAGTTTATTAATTTTGACGAGGATTGCAGCATTTGATGGTAATTTTTATTTTAATTGACCCAAATAAGTAAAACGTGTAAGCCCAAAGTGATTATTTTTCAGATATATAAAATTAAAACGATGAGTTTAAAATGAGCAGCAGTAAAGCCTCTCCTCTAAAAATTTTAAAAGGTACATGTTACAATAATATATGGATGTGAAAAAAATTTGTTTTATTTAAAACATTTTGGCGTTTGGAAAATAAAATAAAAGTAGCGAATACTCTATAAAGGGTATCGAAAGACGTATACAATTTTAAATGTACCGTAAGGTATTTTTCATTCTTTAAGCATAACATTTTTCTTAAAATCTATATTTTTGTAGTTCAACAGCTTAGAATTTTATAAAACAAATTCGTAATCAAAATCGCTGTTGTTAGTTATCGAAAAATAACCAAGATGTGATTTTTGCGTAAATATCACTAAACTATACAAATTGCTATTATCCATCACACTATGAATGTTTCTTTCATGCGAAAGTGTTCCTTTTTCGATTTGTATGGAACTGTCGTGTGTCGAAATACTATCAGAACCCTGTCAAGCGAGCTTCTGAATGTAAACAAAGAACACCCCATCTGGTGATCCAAGCTTCAAAGCAGTGCCTCTCCTTTCTTTCCTACCTCCATGGTTAGATCTCCTGGAATCACAACAATATCAGTTCTTGAGGTTTCAAGATTTTGTTTGCGTTTGTAAGATGCCCCTTGAAGCTGTCCAACACGAGAAGAGAAGGTAGCTGCAACAGGGCTCCAGGTCATTTATACCACACACTCTGTAGCCAGTCCTGAACAAAGGTGTCATCCATCCACCCCTTCTCTTGAACTCGTGCTACAATTCCTAGTGGCAGTTTTTCTTTCGGCATTGTTTTTCGCTTAAAAACCACGTACGGCAAGGATGTCAAACGCTCGGCCCACAACAAATATTTTTGCGGCCCGGCCAATATATCGGCAAATAATAATATATAATAATAAAATAACATATCGACGAAGAAAAAAATGAAATGTTTACTGCTAAGTAATTAACGATAATTTATTCAGTGTTGTTAGATTACTCACAGCGAGCTGACACACACACTACTTAAATTACAAATGCGTGTGAGTAGCTTGCGTTCAGCTACCTTCGGCTTTTGGGGACACGTGCACTCAGAACTTGTACGCATCCCCGATAGCCGAATGTGGCCGAACTCATCGTCTCAGTTTTCCAATCATAGTTTTGTACGATATATTGGTGCATGCATGTGCATGCACTTTGCTTTATCATTAATTATTACTTAATTCATATTGTTACGGATTTCATAGTTATTTATTATTTAGTTTTTTTTATTTAGAATTGTAATTAGATTTTCTTCATGTTGCCATAGCAACGCAGACGATTTTTGAAAAGACAGCTGCGTTGGAAGGTTAAAAATAGAACAGCGCGTGCATTTAATACCTAATAAATAAATATCTCGTAATTGCTGTTGCCATCCACAAAATCCAGATATTTATCCCAATATATCGAGAAATTAATTATAAAGCTTATAAAAGCCGAGAACAAACAACTCATCTCAGTAGTAGCTGTAGTTCTAGAGAACTGTTTGTTTACTTAATGCTGTGATTGATTTGTAGCGATTTCGCTGTGAGATAGAATTAGTTTCTCTGTTTTGAATTGATTTTTGCTACACGTTGACATTTTGTGATATTGTTAGAATATTTTTGAAGAAATATTTCAGCATTTTGATTTATCTCTTGTGGAAAGAATAAATTTTTTTTAACTTTTTAACGTTAACCGTGTTTATTCCAGTACTTTGTATTCAGTATGTCTATATCAAAACCAAGTGGTAGTAAAATTAAACGAAAAATCGCTGACGAACATAGAATATTCCAAGTAAAATGGGAATTACAATATTTCTGCTGTGAAATAAAAGATAAAATAATCTGCTTGATGTGTAATAATACTATTAATGTATCAAAGTTATATAATATTAAACGTCATTACGAACAACACAAATCGAAATATAACAATTACGAAGGATTAATGAGGGAAGAAAAGTTGAAAGAGTTCAAGTTAAGAGTGAAAAAGCAACAGTCCATGTTTAGTAAAGCATTGCAAGAAAGTGAAGCGGCGGTACATGCAAGCTACTTCTTGTCCGAGTTGATAGCTAAACATTCGAAGCCTTTTACTGACGGTGATTTCATCAAGGAATGCCTAATGAAAGCTGGAGAAATTGTTTGCCCTGGAAATGTGACGGCTTTTCAATCAATTTCATTGTCTCGAAATACAGTTGCGAAAAGAGTTACTGATTTAGCCGCGAATTTAAGTGATCAGATCAAAGCAAAATCATCTAGTTTCGAAAGTTTCTCCATTGCCTGTGACGAGAGCACGGACATTAGTGGCAAAGCTCAATTAGCAGTGTTTCTTCGTTCTTGTGACAAGAATTTTAACATTTTTGAGGAATTACTGGAACTAATACTGATGCCTGGTACTACCACAGGAGAAGATATATTTACTTGTGTTTTTTGAACTTCTGCAGAAATACAATCTACCTTGGCAAAAATTAAATTCTGTAGCTACAGATGGCGCTCCATCAATGACCGGGAAAAAAAGGGCTTCGTAGCATTACTAAGAAAAAAACTTAGTGAAATTCACGGTTCGAACATTCATCATATGCATGTATTATACATCAAGAAGTTCTATGCACGAAAGTAATAAATATGGAGAATGTTTTGTCATACATAAAAAAAGTTATCAATTTTATAAGATCTCAGGTTTAAATCAGCGTCAATTCACTGCTTTCTTAAGTGAGTTAGATAGTGAATATTCGAGTTTGTCCTACTATACCGAGGTACGTTGGTTATCTTGCTCCAAGATTCTCAAACAATTCTGGGATTTGAAAGAAGAAATATGCCAGTTTTTAAAAACGAAAAATCAAGACGTAAGTTTGTTTTACGATCCAATATGGATACAAGATTTATCTTTTGTAGTTGACTGTGGTAGTCGTGCGGAGACAGATAAGCATCGTTGTGTTAAACCGTAGCGTAGGGTTCAGTTGCTTCACACATGTCACCGTCGATCGACGCATAGATGACACCCATTTTTTGTTTGTTAACATAACTTTAATAAGTAAACAATTCTTGATGATTGTACATAAATATACAAGCAGAACAGGTAAGTCCGGCTGGTCTCCGCCGGATGAGAAAACAATCTCTGAATCACGAAAGAATGGCGATCCTTTCCCGCCAAAAAAAATCGGACCGTCTCGTCCGACAACCAGGGTGCAAAGTCCTCTTCGCCCCCTCGTCTTCTTGTTCGTCCTTTCTTCCGTCCAACGAACCACTGCTCGTCGGACTAATTATACCGCTGGCTAGGCTTTCCTTCGCTTCTCGGTTATGGGCATTAACGCCCCACCAAGATGAAGATTTGCTCTTAAGGCTAATTTTCACAACAGGTCAACCGAACCGTTCAGCGTCATTAGAATAATGTAGAGTTCATTACAGCGTTCATTAGAATAATGTAGCGTTCATTAAAGTAGAGTCACAAAACCCAGCGTTCATCCTACGCAATTCCTAATTCGTCAGAATCAGAGTTCAGAGGTTTATCAGTTGAACACTGATTTCATACAAAATGTCAGAGTTCCTGAGGCTGACATGGATACTGAATTTTTCAGCCCCCCTACCCGACCAGGTGCAGGGGGTACTTAGAAAACCAAAATCTGATCAGGATACAAAGTCTTCTACCATGTTTTTCGTTTAACAAATACCAATATTACACTAAACATAAGCATAAATACATTCTGCATTAGACAAACATTTTTTTTGTCCCAACATCATTTAAACAATTATCTCGAAAAGTATTTTTAAGGCAAGAATACGAACCTCTGAATATCTTGGTTCCTTTTTTTTTTTAATTTTAAATATTACTATATCACCCATCGTGACAAAGCATCTGCGGCTCGATTTGTACTCCTGGACGATAAGTGATTTTTAAATTCCATCTTTGCAAGAGAGAACCCAACGCGTTAATTTGGACTCCTAGGGGTAAATTTCAGTGAGATTTTCAAAGGAATATAATCCGTAATGATTCCACCGTCCCCGAAAAAATCCACTATCAAATT